CTGGCGGTGAGTGTTATAGACTACCTGCCTTACATTCAGTCAGAGAAGAGTAGTCCAAGAGCTGGCGGTGAGTGTTATAGACTACCTGCCTTACATTCAGTCAGAGAAGAGTAGTCCAAGAGCTGGCGGTGAGTGTTATAGACTACCTGCCTTACATTCAGTCAGAGAAGAGTAGTCCAAGAGCTGGCGGTGAGTGTTATAGACTACCTGCCTTACATTCAGTCAGAGAAGAGTAGTCCAAGAGCTGGCGGTGAGTGTTATAGACTACCTGCCTTACATTCAGTCAGAGAGTTTGAAATTAGGAACAGCTTTATCCGCAGAGAATAGCTTGTTTAACTCTTTGCGAATATTCTGAAACAAAAAATCTTAATGTGGCATTGATAAATTTTCAGTTTGAGCTTTAGCATTGTCAATATAAAAAGGCTACGGTACTACCTTCAAGTAATTATTACTTATCTGACAATATGCATATTCGTGATTCAGAACTTCGGAATTATTAATAATATACATAACCTTGGTTCAGAACTTCGGGATTACATCTCATAATATACATAATCTTGGTTCAGAACTTCGGGATTACAACTAACAATATTCAGAATTTTGGTTCAGAACTTTGGGATCCCAACTAACAAAATAAAAGATCCTGGTTCAGAGCTTCAGGATCACTACTAACAATGTGCAGAAGCTGGATTCAGAACTTCAGAATCAGAGATGTGTTTGTGGTTACATTCAAGATTGGGTCGGTAAATTTATGAACGATTTATGCTATAGTTATCATTACACGCTTGTATGAGTTAGGCCGATGAAGCTAGTTACGATTGTCAAACCGAAACTACTGCTCCGATCCCTCTCATAAGTGTAATAACGCGAGTTACGGCGTTTCTACAAAAAATTATTACTTTTTTTTAATATTTCGAAGAGTGTATTTAGAAAAAACTCGCATTTCAAATAGCGTTTTTCCACGTTTGGTAATCACCAGATGCTGCTTGCTTCTCAGAAAAAGTCTTTTCAACTGAGTTCCCAATTCCAATTGAGAGTACAAATCTAGGGCATGATTCACACCTGCCTATGTACAGATTCCAAAAATGTTCCAGTTTGACGAATGACAAGCAGCAGTTTTATTCAGGGTTAAAGAAAGCACTCAATCGAAAGTCTTACAGTGACAAGAAATAAATTTAAATACAACAACCCTGAAAGCACTCAATCGAAAATCTTACAGTGACAAAAAATAAGTTTAAATACAACAATCCTGAAAGCACTCAATCGAAAGTCTTACAGTGACAAGAAATAAGTTTAAATACAACTACCTTGATACCAGTCCATCGCGGGTTAACTAACAGCTGTTCGTTATTATACAGTTGGGGTAAAGTGGCCTGCTCAAGGACACATCAAAATGGCACCAAAGTTCGGGGCGCGTTTTTTGCGGCAATGAGTATCGAATCATAAATCCTTGGATTCACAGTACAGGCACTCTAACTACTAGGTGACGCCCGGCCCACTTTACTCGTGAAGAAAATATATAAGGAAGACGTGACAACACATCCATTACACACGTGTGATACAAAAAATGACGTGAAAACACATCCATTACACATGTGGGATACAAGAAATGACGTGACAACACATCCATTACACACGTAGAATACAAGAAATGACGTGACAACACATCCATTACACACGTAGAATACAAGAAATGACGTGACAACACATCCACTACACATGTGGGATACAAGAAATGACGTGACAACACATCCATTACACACGTAGAATACAAGAAATGACGTGACAACACATCCATTACACACGTAGAATACAAGAAATGACGTGAAAACACATCCATTACACATGTTGGATACAAGAAATGACGTGAAACACATCCATTACACATGTTGGATACAAGAAATGACGTGACAACACATCCATTACACATGTTGGATACAAGAAATGACGTGAAAACACATCCACTACACATGTGGGATACAAGAAATTACGTGACAACACATCCATTACACACGTAGAATACAAGAAATGACGTGAAAACACATCCATTACACACGTGGGATACAAGAAATACACGTCAAATACACCAATCGAAAACCTCCTGAGTCCAAAACTGTAATTAGATCTCAAATTGGTCAAGAGATAACGGAGCTATGAGTTAAAAGTTTGAAGTTGAAAAAAACAACTACAAAACTCAGCCATTCTGTAAGTCGTTATGCCGCGGCTAATGAGCAGTGTTATGAACATGAAAGTATTTTAAAATAATCTTGAAATTAGTCGATCTTCTTGTGAACCTATTTTGTTCAAATTGTATTAAAGTTTTAATTGCTGTTACATTTTAATTATTATAACTACAATAACAGTTATTCCATCTTATTCTTATTTTTTCGCAATACTTAATTACATTTGTAAACCGTTTTTCTCACGATCTCCGAAACCATTATGACCTTCTTAGTATATCGGGTTACTGTACTATAGTTATTATCCCAACCGACTCAACTTGTTGCTACCCAATTCAATCTCGAGGGCCTTTCAATGCTTTTGGTGGTCCTATCGGGACAGTTGCTCACCCTATCTACCAAACGTTCGCGGCCAAGCCGCCCGCAGTATTCCCGGATGGGTTGCCACGACTAGCTTGCGGCAATTCGTTAACTTTCGCATTGAAGCTACTTCACAATCTTACTGTCTGTGTTACTATGTGACGCCCGGAGAGACAATCAGAAGATGAGGGTACAGTAAATCAGGGATAGCAGTTTCGGATCCGATGCGATTAAGTTTTACGCTAGCAGCTGTTCGTCTTTTGAGACACAAGCCATAAATGTTTCTTCCCGTGAAGAGAATAAGCAACAGAGACAGGTAAGTGTTTTTAACTGTTGGATTTATTTTATTAGGAGTGATGTGATAGCGGAAACTTAAGTAGCACTGTTACTAAGTGACATCGCCTATTGAACAGGTGTTTGAAATTAATATTCGTAATACAAATTACGCTAGACTACAAATGAGTTTTTGTTGTTGTTGTTGTTTTGTTTTTTGCACATTCTTCTCAATTAATCCATGACAGGTTTTAAATATTGAAATATAGCAGACAGGAGGTACTTAGATCTACAGAACCTCTCTCTCTCTAGGTGCCATATCCCGTTTGAACGTTGGCGTTCATGGTTCTCCATAGGTTCCTGACTTTTGTACCTTTTAAAATCTCAGCCACACTGACATTTGCTTATGCTATTGATGTAGTTTCATCTAGACTTTTTTTACCCTCTATTCTTCCAGTTATTACCATAGTTTCAAGCTTTTCCTTTCTTATTATGATCAGCTTCCTCTTCTGATAAATTCCTCACTGGTTATATGGTCTGTCCATAGAATGTTTAGCATCATTCTGTAAATCCATATTTCTATGTCGCTTTTCCATGCTAAGCGAGATGGTAAGGACGGAATACACATAATACTGGAGTATTCTTTTTTTCTTGTAGCCATGGTTATGCTTTGATTTATAATATTTTCCCCAACTTTTCAAAATATATTTTTGCCATAGCTATACAGGTTATGATAGTTTTATAGATCTTCTAAGCATTCTACTTTCTTTGATTACCTTATCGAGAAGGAATTGAATCTGTATTGTATAGAGTTTTAGTAATTATCACGATCAAACTAAACTAATGCGAAATAGATGTTTTAATATTCATAACGTTTCGGGCTGGGACACCCTTCCTCTGGTGATTTTAAACTGTAATTGTTTGGTTCAAATTTTGCGCAAAGCTACACGAGGGCTCTCTGCGCTAGCCGTCTCTAATTTAGTAGTCAAAGTTTAGCTAGTTATCACCACCTACCGCCAACTCTTTAGCTACTCTTTTACCCTTATAACGCCCCCACGACTGAAAGGGCGAGCATGTTTGGTGGGACGGATATTCGAACCCGCGACCCGCAGATTGCGAGCCCTAACCACCTGGCCATGCCGAGCCATTCTTTTTTGTTTTCAGTTTTTATGCATTTTTGTGAATGATCTTTGTAGCGATTTTGCGAGCTGAGTTGATTATGATTGGAAGATAATTCTTGATCCTAAAAAAAACTGACATTTCATTAGCTTTCTGTTCAAAATCGGAGTCGGAATTGGATAAACGACCTAGGCGATGAAACTGTGATTCAGGAATAGCATTTTTATTGGATGTATAATAGCTGGAGTTATAATCGAGGAAAGAGTGAGAGTCCGTTGGTTTATAATATATAGACGTTGAAATAGTATGCTCTGTAGTTAAGCTTAATTAACCCTTTCAGCACGGGCTCGGTCCGTCGGACCGACCTCGTAACCATTGTGTGCTTGTTATAGTTTTCATGCTATAACTTTTATATTAGTAAGGTTAACGAAACTTGGCAGATTATCAGCTAACAATACAATGCTTTCATATGCAAAATATCAAATTTTTTTATTAATTCTTAAGGTTTGTTAAGCAATGTTTTTCTCATACCTTTTTCTTCTTTTCACATGTTTCCTATCCAACATGCAAAGTAATTGTAATTTTAAGATTAAAAATATTTTTATGCATCAGAAAATTTTGAACTTTCACATGAGAAATCTTTATAATGTCCAGATAGTTATCAAAAGTTTCATAAAGAAAAACTTTTAATTTTATCCGTTATTTTCACTAATGAATCTATTCGGGTTTGACAGATTTGACCGATCTCGTAACCAACATAAACAATTTGGAAATAAATATAAATTATGCTTCTTTCGTTCTAGAATGACTACAGATTATAACACAAAAACATAATTGTTTAGACTAAATAGCTTAGATTTCATAACATTATACATTTATATATATATACTTATTATTTTTATTATATTGACCTTTCAGCCGTGCCTGGCTAACATTACAGAAGTTGTAATGACGCGGCGCACGTTATCGTATCCAATATTCTAAAACTGACCTTTAGTCTTTACAAAGTGACCCTGTCTTGAATGTGTTTTAGTAGACTAGTATTTAGTAAAATACAGTAACATTTCAAATATTATACATTTTATGTATATAGATTATTATTATTTAGAAATAAGTTATTTAACTTAATTTTCTTAAAACATAGAAGCAAACAATTATCTCTTCTAGTTACGACCTTTGTACTCAGTCGCTGTTTGACGTAGGTTGCTAAGCGCCTTTTAAAATTTTGCAGGTAGAGGATATGAAATGAAATATTTTTGTTAGGTTTTATGTATACAGTTGAATAACCAAAAAATCATAAATTACTCTATCGATATAATAGAATTTCACTATAATTTATCAAGCTTAGTAACTAAGCTGTATTTCGGCCAGGTGGTTAGGATGCTCGACTCCCAATGTGAGGGTCGCGGGTTCGAATCCCCGTCCCACCAAAAATGCTTGCCCATTCAGCCGTGATGGGGTTATAATGCGACAGTCAATCCCGCTGTTTACTGGTAAAAGAGTATCCCAAGAGTGGGCGGTGGGTGGTGATGACAAGCTTTCCTTACCTCTAGTATTACAATGTTAAAGTAGGAATGGCTAGTGCAGATAGACCTCGTAAAGCTTTGCGCGAAATTGCAAACAAAGCTGTATTTCGGTCTAAAAAATATGAAATTTGGAGCAGACTAAATACACAACCTACCTGCTTGGTTCGAAAGAATGAGATGGCCTTCCAGCATTTTATAATGCCTGAGAAAACCACAAGAGGGACATTATGAGCTGTCAATTGGTTATTCACAAGTCATATATTGAAGAAAGTGTATATAAGGGACCGTTTACAAAAATCACAAACATCTAATTTGAAGCAGCGCTGCATTCAACATACCACGTGACACACAAAAATCGATGTTTAACTGTATGTTTTTTACATTTACTTTTAAATTAAGAAATTGAATATTGTATAGTACTAAAATTTGAATGATAATCTACAGTTTGATACCAAAGTTATTGACATAAATTCATGAAATAATAGTTCAATAAAATTTCGAACGCAAGTCAACAACTGCGATGATATGGCGAGGCTCAGAACAAATATTATGACACCAAAATCACAATTAACAACTTTTAGAGAGTGTTCGCCTTCTGTTTCCCTACTATGTTGTTCTTAGATAAGTTAAGTTAAGCATGTACAGTGTTTAAGTCAATGTTTAACCTTGGCGTTTAGTGCACTTCAAAGTTTCTATAACCAGAAATATACAGTGTACGCAATGTTACACGACATTCCGCCTTTAGAGTGAACAGTGAATATATGATTACGCAAGGGTTTCTGATCCCCGTCTTGTTCCGAGCGATGTTACTACTATAGAGCACTATATTTTTACAGGTCCACATATCGTCTAGGTTCATTATGAACGGGGTCTGTGTTCGGTGGAAAGGATGGTTCGATCTTCATCGGTTGAGTGGGATTGGGTGTCTGGAATATGATGAAGAGCAAGCTCAGGTAATGTTCGGAAATTGGGTTCTGAAAGTTTTGTAAAAACAGAAAGATTACTACTTGAACCACGAGTTCTTGGTAAATTTAAAAGTCATTAACCACACCACGATAACGCGATTCACTTTCTTAATATTCTGCTCTAACAATCGCAGCTTACTTTACAACTACGAACTTAATTAACCCCTTTTCTGTTATAGTTCGTAGATAATGCATCCAGGGGCGGATTGGCCTATCGGGATACCGGGACTTGTCCCGG